ACAAATTTAAATTGCACTGAGCATTGGTTAAATTTACTCAACAAATTGAATTAAAACAAATTAAACCCTTCCCTCGCTCAAAACCCTAACCCCTCCGTTTTAGAGCGAGAAAGAAACAGTGTGGGCACTGCAATTTTTGAATCTGCGAAAATGTCGATGTCTAAGAGTTCGAAGATGCTCCAATACATTAACTACCGTATGCGCGTCACAATCCAGGACAGCCGGCAACTCATCGGAAAATTCATGGCCTTTGACCGCCACATGAATCTGGTACTCGGCGATTGCGAAGAGTTTCGTAAACTTCCTCCGACTAAAGGCTCTAAGGAAGACCGGGAAGACCGCCGTACACTTGGCCTTGTACTTCTCCGCGGCGAGGAGGTGATTTCAATTACCGTTGAGGGTCCGCCTCCGCCGGATGAGTCACGTGTTAAATCTATTGGTGCTAATGCTGTTCCGGGACCCGGCATTGGCAGGGCAGCTGGCCGTGGTATTCCTACTGGTCCGCTTGTTCAGGCCCAGCCTGGACTTGCTGGACCTGTGAGGGGTGTTGGTGGACCGGCTCCAGGGATGATGCAGCCCCAGATTTCACGCCCCCCAATTTCTTATCCTCAGCAGCCGCAGCAGGTTCAGGCACCGGTTATGAGGCCTCCGGTAGTGCCTCCTCCTGGAGGTTTCCCGCCTAGGCCTGGGATGCCTGGTATGCCGCCTCCACCGCAGTTCAGGCCAGGTGGTCCTCCGCAATTTGCTCAACCGCAGTTTGGACAGAGGCCGATGGGCCCACCCCCACCACAAATGATGAGAGGCCCTCCACCTCCTGGAATGCCTGGTGCTATGCCCCATGGACAGCAACCGCCTCGCCCAGGCATGCCACCTCCTCCTGGTGGGCAGTTTCCTGTGTTTGGTCCCCCCAGGCCTGGGATGCCGCCACCACCTAATGCTCCTCAGCAGAATCAGCAGCAATAGTGACTGCAATTTTTTTGGTATGTAGTTATTAATTTTTTGAGTACACAAGCCTATTGAATAATATAGTATGTTGCGTTGATGTTCATCGGTTTGTGTTGAATCATTGCATTATCAAATTCCTTAGTTGATTTTATTCAGAAAACTTTGTATAGAAAATAGTATAGGTAGCAGATGCTGTGACTTAAATTGTATTTTTTCTAAGCAGGGACTTTGGAGTAATAAGAATGCTTAATTGCTTCTAGTTTTGCCTGCCAGCAATCCCCATTGCTATTAGTAAATTGTAAAACAAACTGGAATGTTCAATAACTTTGTATTATGCTACAGAACTGCATTCATTATTGCTTTTATTGATGTCTCTATTGTTATTCTAGTTCCATATAGACTTGCCTATTTTGCTTGATTATGTTTTTACTGATTTCTTCGAAGATTATGGTACAGGAATACAATGTTGTGTAATGCATTATTTTTGTATACAAATTTAAAAATAGGAGCCCCCTCTCTCCAATGACAATGACAACCACAACAAGCTAATTCTCACTCAGTAAACTTTGGTCATTATCATCAATTTAGAGCTGCCTTAGATTTTTCTCCCATGAGAGGTCCAAGAAATTCAAATCTTTTTACAACTATATGTAGGGCCTTGTCAATTTTAGCCTATCTACCTTGTTAGAATACTCAACCAGGGTATAGATCCTAAATAAAAGAGCTTCTTTATGTTAACAAAAGACATGCTTTGGCCATTCAAATTCCCCCTCCAGAAAGGAAAAACGCTCAAGGAAAAGTAAGAAGAATATAAGTGGGACACACATTTTGCTATCATTGGTGCTGTTGATTATTTTGCTATTATTGATGCTATTGAGGTTGACATTTTAAACACAAAAGCATTGGTGGGAACTTTGTCATGATGCTGGATTGTTAAAAGAATTTAGATCGTATTCATATTCTCTACTGGTTGACTAAATTTTGTTGTTGATTTCTATCATATTTCTCTATTGTCTGATCAGAAATTCATTAAACTATGTGAAAAACACAAGGGATAATGTTTTTGAGTGGACTGGTCTTATTTCATTCACTGCATAATTTTGTGGGGGATTGCATTTTCGAGCTTATATTTTGATATAATTTTAATGCCTGATTATGTTGGAACTGGGTCCACTTGTTGATCTACACCTGATGATTTCATCACGTGGCAGGGATTACTCCAGTTTGGTGAATGAAACCTGTGAAGATTATCAAATTAAGAAATGTTCCCGGTGCATATGAATTTGCTATTAGTTTGTAGTAATGAGATGTTTTATCCATATTTAGGCTTTTCTTTGTTTGTGGTGTTGACTTCATAGTTTCACCATTATACTTTCCCATGATGTTGAGTAAATTTATGTCTTGCTGAATCCTCTTCTCCACTCCCTCACTGCAATACATGTTTTATTCGGTTTGAGGTATGTCTTGTTTGGTTATCAAAAGTGTTTGTTAAATTCAGGCATAAGCAGTACTAGACCCAACTGGTTGGTATAATTGTTAAATTTTATTCTAAATGCTCCTGTATTACTCCGTTGATGTTGATGTTATTTGTGTGCCGTTAGTAAGTTGTAACTTTCATTGAAGGGCCTAATGGAACTTTGGTACTGAATTATTCCTTGAAGGCTATTGACACCCCCACTAGCTTTTCATTGGGTGAAGATTCATAATCTTTACAGCCTATTTGGGAGTGATTTTTTCTCCCAAAAAATTAATTTTTGACCGTTATTTTACTATTTCAGTTGTCATATTTGATTTCTTCTCTCATAGGTAGACTCCACATTTCTCCTAACGGTGAAAAAATCAATTCTCAAAATCACTTCCAAACAGACTCTTAATCTTGATCACATACGTCTTCAATGTTGTTTTTATTGCATTCTTATCATCAAGACGATTAAATTTCTGTTAAGTTACAATAAAAAGATTGATTTGGCTCTCATAATTTTAAATAAGCCAAAAAAAGAAAAAAAAAAAAGAAAAAGAAGAACAATTATAAAGTGGAGTCTAAATATTTAAAATATTATTAGAGGTAAAATATGCTAACTAATGGAGGGTCGCTATAAGGAAAAGAAAAAGAACACAAGACAAGGAAAATTAAGAGTGTATTTGGTTTGCGTTTTCTATTTTTAGTTTTGAATTCATTTTTTGTTTTGAGGGACTGTTTTCGAATTATAGAAAAAGTGTTTGATTTGTTATTTTGAAAAACGGTTTCTCAAAACAAAAAACTAGAAAATGCATTTGGTTTAAAATTTTTAAGAATTCTTTTATGACATTTATTTAATTAATTTGATTATTTAGTAAAAACATAATAATTTTATGCTAATAAACTACCAGATAATATATATTTTAAAATTGGTGAATTTACTATTTTTTTTGTTACAACATAAAATAATAAAATTTTAGAAATTATTTTATGCCATTTATTTAATTAATTTGATTATTTAGTAAAACATAATAATTTTATACTAATATATTATCAGATAATATATATTTTAAATTTGATGAATATACTATTTTTTGTTGCTACAAAAATAAAGTAATAAATAATAAATTTATAGACCAAAAATAGGAATCCTTGTAAAGAAAATAGCTAGTATGTCCTTCATCCTTCAGAATGTATTTTATTGTCATTTGGACAATATAAAAAGAAATAATAGTTCTTCTAAATTTTGATCAACGGAAAATAACAATAATGGAAATTGAAGGATGTTGTGGGTTTTAAAACTATTATGCTTTACTAAATTGTATCAGATTATAACATTTTGGGCCTGTTTGAGCCACATTATTCAAAAAAAATAAAATTTTTAAATAGTGATTTAACATTATTTCAATCACACATTTTTTAATAAAATAATATTATATGCAGATAAAAAAAAATTTATTATTTTTTAACCACACATTTTTCATCAATACACTATTCAAGAATACATTATTACTAAAATAATATGGCTCAAATACCCACTTTATTTTAAAAGTACTATTGAGCATCCTATGGGTGAAAAAGAAAAGAAAAAGAAAAAGGCGTGTTTTGAGTGTTTTCCTTGTTTTGAGTTTTTTTAACTGAAAACAATAAAAACGAAGAAAAATCGTTTTAAGTTTTCAGTCATAAATTTTTCCTTGTTTTCGAAAATAACAGATCAAACACGTTTTGGACATTTTCTAAAATTAAAAATAGAAAATGGATGGAGAACGACAAACCAGACGCGCTTTGTCAAATGCAGAATAGAGAGGATGTCAAGAACCTGTTTGAATTGCACAATGCAATCAATTGCTTTTAGCACTAGGTTTGATTTGCTCTTTTCGATTTTTATATATTTTATTGTTTCATTGAGAGTTTCTTATTTTTTTATTTCATTAAAAAATTCTTGTTTCTCATCTAATTTAGCTCGAACAAGAGAGAAATTCAATAAATACAAATTTGAACCAAAAAAGTTAATTTTTTGAAATTTTATCTACAATTCTTTTTGACGAGGTTCTTTCAATATATTTCACATTCTTACCTATACCATTACAAAAAGGTCATTTGATGAGATACATAATTAAGAAAAATTGATCCATAAAATATGAACCGAAGACAAACAGATGGTTTAACAAGATGAAATATGAAAAATGGTAATCACACAAATTTTGATTTGTTCACTTTCGAGCATAAAAGTTGCATAAATTCTACATATATTCGAATGAAATAATTTTATTTGCAGTCGTTCGTTATCATGTCACTTTACATGACATATAGGTAACGATTAGTGATTTGTTGCATAAGGTAATAAAAAATTATTATATTAATATAAAAAATGACTAATCGTCAGTATATTGATATAAGACGACTACGATAGTGAACAATTACAAATAACATTACTCATTCAAATAAAATTTTTAAAGTTTTTAATAACTTGTTCAATTTTTTGGAAACTACTTATTCGTTTCAAAATTTTACTAATTAAAAAAATACATTCATATCAAAATTTACTTATTTACTGCGAAGTCCTCCATTTTCAGACAAATGTACAAAATTTTATTCATAACCCTTTCAAAACCCTAGGAATTTGAATCCCAAAGCTCTCCCAGTGAGGACTCCGGCGAAATGCCCGGCGTGACGTCGAATTCCAGCGACTCCACTCTCTCCATTGTTCCCCATTCCTCTGACTCTGAAACCCCCAGAGTTTACCCTCTCCGGCACCATGGTCTCACTCCTCCACTCGCCCGCGTTTCGATCTCTTGGGCTCGTGGCAACACGCTCCGCGTCTCGCTCATTCAGTCCGAAGCCGTTTCTGGGCAACAGACTGGCGGAGAAGTGGTAGAAGTGAAACTAACCAATATGAAAGGAGGAGAAATCACCGCCGCGCAGTGGCGAAGAATTGCATATGGGTCTGTCACTCCATTCGCGCTTCTACAGAGCCGGAAGAACTCAATGGACTCGTCGCACTACAGTAAAGACTGGTAATTGGTCCAGTATTTTTTCCTTTTGAAATAAGGCAATGCGAATTCCCAGCGTTTATAGATTTTTAGTTGATTAGAGAATAGTAAAATATCGCCCGCCATTGTGCGAATTTATAAAAGAAAAAAAGTTGTCAAAATTTTTCATATGATGATGGACCTACCCCTTAATTACCTTGACTCGGTCATGGGTCTGTGATTCTGTAAAAATGGTGATACTAGTGATGATAATAATCATGTTTTGCTCAAACGAATCTGGAAATACACTATGGAGCACAACGAAGGAGTAAACTTTAATCTCAATAGTTTGATATAACGGGACTGAGAATGATGTTAATTGAGTCCAACCTCGTGCTTAGAGACAGAGAGAGAGAGAGTTTGAGTTGCGATCTTCCATAAGAATGGGATAAATAGGAATAAAGCAACTTATGACTTGGAAGTAATTGTGCACCTTTAGGATTGCAGGGATTTAGTTTTCTGTTAATAACGCTAAGGTTCTGTAAATTTGCTTTTTAAAGTTTGTTCAAGAAACATTACCTTAATGTGATCCACTCACTTGTAAGCCATAATGCTTTTCTATAAATTTTCTAGAAGAACTTTGTGAAAGAGAAAAATGGTGATACTTGTAAAGGTGACAATGATGTTCTGTAAAAATAACAGGTGGGAACATGTAATGGAGTACAGCAGGGAGATAAATTCTCTTCTTGCTAATTCAGAGTCATCTGGTAATCTGGTTATTGAAGATCCCAAGGCATTATTAAAGGTAATTATCGATTTCTCAATACGTTACTGTTTTGTGGCAGCATATTTGATTTTTAGGATTCAATATTTGACTGGTCCTTGGAAGTCAGAAAGAGGAGGAGCCAACCAGTTTAAAAGCTGCATGGGAGCTGATGGAAATATTTTATGCAGACAAGCAATCTGAGACTTATATTCCTGAACGGTTGCTTGATTGGTTGTCTGTATGACTCTTCCACTTAGTCATTTATCTATTCTCAATGTTCTGGCATTCCTTTTTATTCTTGAGGAATTATACTTCTTCTGACTTAATGCTTATTTTCTTCAACAGGATTATGACTGTCTGTTCTCTGGAACTCAGCCAACTGCACATGCAAAACTTGTTGATTTCCAAAAAGAACTTGTAACTTTACAGGTCTTGGCTTATCCTTAATCCTTACATTTGATGTTTTCAGTTTTCAACTTGGCCTTCTCATTTTTCATGCTTTTTAACTGAATTTTTAAGCTGAAATTGAACAACTTTTCTCATGTTTTTTGCCCACCAGATAATTGAGAATGATCCTAAGTACTGGGAAACAATGTCCTCAGCCTTAGCAGTTGGCTGGCTAGATATCGTGGTAAGGAATGATTTTTTCGCATTATTCACTTGTATGTTAAAATGCTCCCCATGGCCATAATAGGCAGGTGGGCTGCTTCTTGAAAAATGATTATCTCACTATTGAGCATTAAATTCAACTTACAACTGGCAGGTAAAACTGTTGCATTTGCATGGATCTTATCAGTTTGATCAGCTAGGGAACCGTGAGGTTAGTGAATGATACCTATTTTTCATTACACAACTTCTACTGCCTAGTCCAAATGGATTAACGTTTTTTTCTTGGTCATGTGTTTCGTGGAACAATTTATGGGAGCGCCATATTGTTTATCATTTTGCAGATTTCTTCCCCTTCATCTTTTTAAATGAGTAGCTTTATTTGTAATGAAGATGGTGAAAATACTAATCACCACGGATTTGAGACTCAGAGCAAGCTGAAGCCATCATTTTGAGAAATCTTTCATTTTTGTCTGGAATGAAGACGAAATACCTATATTTTGTTTCTTGATGAATTTTGTAGATGAGCTTCACTGTTGTAGAGAGGGATGACTTGGCATAGATTCTTTTCTATTCTCCTCTGTATGCTGTACACAGATTGCACCTTCACACCACTGGGAATCAAGATTAAAATAGTGCTACCTTAAGAAGCATGGATACTTATAAATTTATTGCTTACCCATATCTGATACATATTAAAGCTTCGACACGTGTTTTTTTAATTATTTTATATTTTTTAAATTTCTGATACATGTCGAACACCTTAGTACATGGGAAAAATAAGAGTTTTATTGGTTTTAAACTCTTTTGAAACTCCTTGTATTATTATTGTCAATAGATGATAGTTTTTTTTACTTAATCGATAATTATTGTGATTATCAATAATTTATTGATAATAGATATTATTTATTTAGCCCCTGTTTGGTTCCCATTCTTTTCTCATTAAAATGAAAAATTTGACCGTTATCTATCACATCAAGTCACCAAATTTGAATTTCTATCTCTTACGTGGGGCTCATAACGACTATATTTTTCATTCTCATTCTTCCAAAAATGAGAAACAAACGGGGGCTTAGTAACAAGGAGTACCTACTCTTTTGTACACTGCATGACAAGGAATAAAATAACTCCACAATGAACTGAAAAATTGGTGTTTATTCATGGAAATCAGTGCCTTTTATCAAGTAAATTAAATCCTTACTTAAAAGGAGAATCCAAAATGTAGGAAATTGTCAAAGACTCATTTGATACTCTTGAAGGTGTTGGGCTGCATGAGGTTGCTAATCTATTATTAGATGAGCTAGAGTTGGAGAATGTTATTTTTAATTAATAAAGAAGTGGATGGTAGTAATGTTGAAGAAAATGCTTTGTAACAATTAAGGATTTAGATAAAATATTTTTGTATTTTATTTTGTTTTTATTGTCAGCCTTCTTTATTTGTGTTTTTATAAAATAATGAAATTATGCTGAATTTTATATTTAACATATGAAAATACTCCATATGTTACATTTACACTTGCACATATCCGTGTATCCTAAGTTTTGCTGAAATTTGTATCGATGTCCTCGTATCGTAACATATTGGAATCTGTACTTCTTTGGTGCTACCCATACTGGAAAGAAAAATACTTGATCTGACCGATTTACTGTTTAACTGGTCTGTGAATAATCAAGATGAGCGAGGAAGGCTAATTCGAAACAAGTTTCAACTCAAACACTTGGTTTAATTTTCTTATTATTCCGTGCTATTCACCTCCTTATGAGTTTAGAAGTCAGCATTGTTTTTCATTAATTTAACCACACCAGAAATGCAAGTTGCAATTTTAACATGTGCACTTCTGTGGACAGAGTAGGTAAGGAAATCTCTATTTGTTTTATTAGTCAGTTTTTGACAGTGTAATCTGTGTGAGAGACAACGTGAGATCTCTGTTTGCATCGTCAGTCAATTTTTGATGGTGTAATATTATGTCATTATTCGAGTTTTTATTAAGGAAATTATTGTCGGGTACATTAAGAATTGGAAATGGAATTTGCTAGTACTAAAACATTTCCCATCTTGATTTTATTCAATGTCATTCATTAGTTATGTATGTTAACGAAGTGTGTGAAGATGATATGAAGTACAATTTGAAATCTTTTGCATCTATTGTAAACAGACAGAAAATGGACTTGTAGAAGCAGTTGCTGTTCTCATATCTCAAATGCCACGCATGCGGCCTGATATACCATTGGGAAAATTAGGTGAATGTTACCATACCAAGCCTGAGTTTATGAAGGTAGTTTAGAGACTGGAATTTTCATCTAGTGTGACCACTCTGTTCTGTTCCTTGATGCATTTTTATATGTCAGGCATGGGAGAAGTGGAGATCACAAATTACTAAATTGGACTGCAGTTCATTCTGGCTTCAATGTGATCACCATCAGACTCGGGAAGGACTGAAAAATATGCTTCAAATCATGCTGGGAAACACTAGCATTCTCTCCAATGTGACGTATCATTGGATAGAGCTTTATATATCTCACTTTCTGTACGTCAGGCCTTTCACTGTGGTCAGTGTCAATTTCGATCTTATACAACGCTTAAGTTATTTCAGATCATTTATAAGTTGTATTGGATGCCCGTTGAAAAATGAAGGGTAAAAAGTATTATGATACGTATCTCAATATTCCTGACACATGGGCACTGAAATATTTTGTTATGATACAGGGTTTAGAAAACATGTGCAACTTAGCTCAGAAATGCATGCATTTGAAACCAATTTCCAATCACCATAAGTTGATGGGACTCATAATTGGGATTCTAGAAGAAAATATTGAGGTAAGCCATGTGAAAGTCACAATAGCATTTCTTGGTTGGTTGGGTTCTCATATGGTCAAAAATCATTTGACTAATCTTTAATGATTCAGGTTGTTCTGGCTGAATGCTCTAGATCATTTGACCCCTGGTGAGACACTGATCCAGCTTAACTTTTTTATGTATTCATTATTGGTCTGTCTATTTCTTCTACAAAAACTAATTATTAAGGAATTATTATGGTCATCGTTGAATGGATGCATTATATACCTTGTATATGGCCAGTAAACATAATCTGATGTTAGTCTTTTGAATAGGATGATTACACATGCTATAGAGCTGCTGACAGCTGGGAGCACTCAAGCAGAAATACTTATACATGAAGAGCAGTCTAAACTGGGAGGAATCAGCATAGAAGAGCTTCAAAGACTTGTCTATGCTCAAGTTCTATCTTCTCATGCAATGACGTGGAATGTAAGTGTTCATGGAATGTGTTCTTATGTGTATGGGTATCTCTGTCTCCTAGTTGTTTGATTTCCTGGAACAATGAGTATACATAAATCAAAGTTACTGATACACTTTAACGTCCAATTAGACCTATCTCTGTCAATCATCATTAACACTGACAGTGCACAAGGTTTACAAGGGTGGTACTGTGCTGGATATGTGGATCGTAGAGGTGCCAGGTGTATGCAAGTTTCCCTTGCCAATAGTAAAATGTTCTGCGTATTGTGTCTCTATGACTATTGAATTTTCACTCTTATTCTCCAGTCCCTTGAATTTTCGTTATAATGCAGTCCCAGCCACAAAGTTGGGTATAATTTGTAGATGTGAGACTCTTTTCAGAATTTATGATAGTGAAGATTGTAGACATTCCTTCAAGTTATCTTTAATGCACATTACTACTTTATTTGTATGCTTGGCATGGATGCTCCGTGGACTAATTAGTTTTCTCTCCTTTTTCTTTTCTTTTTCAAAAATAGTTGTATAGCTGTTATTCAACAATTTAGACTTGAAATACTGTGTCCTGCTGCTGCTGACAAAGTTGGGTATAATTTGTAGATGTGAGACTCTTTTCAGAATTTATGATAGTGAAGATTGTAGACATTCCTTCAAGTTATCTTTAATGCACATGACTACTTTATTTGTATGCTTGGCATGGATGCTCCGTGGACTAATTAGTTTTCTCTCCTTTTTCTTTTCTTTTTCAAAAATAGTTGTATAGCTGTTATTCAACAATTTAGACTTGAAATACTGTCTCCTCCTGCTGCTGGTTCCTCTCTGGCATATTTGTGGTTTTGATTTTGGTTTCTATTAGCTATTTCTAATATTACGCTTTCCTAATTATTTTGATAAT